AATAAGGGCGCATCATTTAAAACAAATATGTTAACGCAAAATCAAAAATATGCATACTCTGCATTTCTGATAAATTCAAATATAAAATAGACATACGCCTTATTATTTAACATAAATTCTATTATAAACGAAAGTACATTTAAACAGCAAATGGTGTTCTTTACATTCTTCATATTTTTCTGCGTTTTAGCTTCCGCACATATATATAAAAAACAATTTCTTAACATTAACTGTAAATATCGTTTCACGGCAAGCATACGTAGCGAGCAGGAAAACGTTAATCATTACCATTACAAGAAAAACTTGATTTAACGGATTTGTTAATTTCGTTAATTTAAGTGATATAATTCAAATTACGTAATCGCTTCTCTGTTATATCTGCTAAATTGATGTGTTGTGAAATATTCTGCTCATTATAGAGAATTACTAAGAACAACTTTCAGAATTAGCTTCTTTCTACGAACTAATAAAATAAATTTGCATCCTTCATAAAAACCAATGTTTCACAAGATGTCGGTATTCTATAGAGGTGGTCGGCTTAGAGGATACAGCTATCCATGACGTTCGGTGCTGTAATTCAATCATGTCCTTAGAGTGCTGTTCATTTTGTGAGACAATCCTCTTTGGAAAAGGCTTCTAATGATAGGTTCCAGTGTATATGTAATACAGAAAATGTAAAAATGTACGCAATGCGTATTTATACTCACATGATTATAGTAATTAAATTATTCATAGGTCTTAAAAAAATACTTAAGTTCAAATTTCCGCTTCCCATAACATACTGAACCATATTTGAATGTGAAAGCTTTGAATTCATATTTATTCTTTGAGAATTCCTGAAACTTGTGCTCCATAATCTCGCACGCACGTGTTAGAGGAACACCCCATTCAGAACTCTTCATTAGCTGTAATTATTGTTTAACACTACAATTATTATGCTTGCACACATGCATGATCTCTTGGGGCCGTTATAGCGATGAAAGCTGTAGACTTTTAATTAGATAAGTGCGACAATTACGTGCACATATGTCATGCAAATAAAATGAGCTGTCCCGGACGATTAATCTCTTGAGCCTTACACTTTTAGTTCCACAGAATATTTTCTCTTGCATATCCGAAGACTATTTTACTGAAAACTTCTCTTTATGATTTCTTTGAATATTTTACTCGAACTCTTTGAACATTTTATTAACATTTTCCATTAAAAGAATAAAACGAATCATGATCAATATCGCCTAGACGTGTCATGATTATTTATACTAAATTCGAATAATGATAAATTAAATTTAAAAAAAATCAGAAAGGTTTTAGATTTTAAATTACGTCCAAAGGGGCGTTTTTTTAACATCTTGTGTGTTACCTATATTTATTAAATATCATGTTTTTCGCACTTAAACTATAAAATTCCTTTCAACAAAAATATCGCAAAAAATTTTTAAAATGAGCATACTATCTTTAGAATTTGCGGTACATAGTCTCGCGCGCTGGAGATAAAAATGTTTTCTTGTACAGCGTTGCCATGGCTCGCTTTGAAATCCTCCAATTTTGTTAATCAAAAATTCGTTAAAGTTTTACAAAATATGAAATCGATAATAAAACAAATTCCAAATTTCAAATTTTGGCTTTCAGATACCCATATGCGCAGGAGGATTACGTTATTCAAAATTGGATGGCTCTAAGTACCGTTGTTTTATCAAAATGCTAGAACATGCATACATTTATGCAAATTCTTCATTATTTAATTTCTTTAAATGTAATACAGGGCGATAATGTTTGGTGGCAACAATTTGAAAAGTGAATCAACGAAAATGCCAAAAGTAAATTAATAGCCCTGCTGGGCAAATTGCCTCTTTGGATTAAATATTTTGAAATTAAATATCTAACCCGTAATTCAGTTTTTTATTTCCAGAATTACTTATCCCTTTGTTATAATTCTATCTAATTATTTACATTACAGTGATGTTTTGAAACAAACAAGGAACTCAAGTAACTTTTATAAATTACTATTTAAAAGTTAGAGATATATGAACTCATCATGAGTGAACATTTTAAATTTAAATTTATCAGCCCAAAGGGAAGTTAGCCCAAAGGAGCTATTAGTCTCAATACGGCATTTTGCGTTGAATCACTAAAAGCCCTGAATGACTTTTTAAATTGTTGCCGCCAAATATTATCGTCCTGTATTACATTTAAAGAAATTAAATAATGAAGACTGCAGGAATGTATATATGTTTCTCGCATTGTGAAAAAACAATGGTAAGAGACATTAAATTTTGAATAATGTTGTCTTCCACCCGAATATGAACACCTGGAAGCCCGAATTTAGAATTTGGAATTTGTTTTACTGTCTATTCCATATTTTTTAAACCTTTAACGAATTTCTGAGTAACAAACTCAACGATTTCAAAGTGAGTAATGGCAGCACTGTACGGAAAAAAATATTTGTATCTCCCGAGCGAGAGACTGTCTATCGGAAAACACGCATATGTGTGTGTAAATGAAAACATACCCCTTTGGGCGTAATTTAAAATTTGAAAACTTTCATTTTTTTATTTAAGTTAAGATTTTTGCCTTCAGTATACTTCGGTGAGGAATTAAAATTTTTAAATCTTGAGAAAATATTTTTTTCATTTAACTGGCACCAGATTAGTATATATGAGTTAGCAAAACCACAGTCAGATGTGACACACTTTCATCGTCATAAGTTAAAAAAATAAAATTATATAATAAGTAAAGACTAATAGAGATGCAATGAAGAAGATAAAAGAAAATTATATTTTAGCCATTCATACTCGAGTGAGGAGATAAACGGGTCATATCCAATATCCCCCTATTTTACAGGCGTTTTCTCTGATCGCATATAAAAGAAGTTTGAATAAATAAAAAACTAACACATTTTGTAGTTTTTCAATGATTACATTTGCTTTTTGGCTGCGGAAAAAAAATACATTTGAACTTTGAAGTATTTTTGTTTCAAGGTTATATTGGGAATTTAACTCGCTGACCAAATACGGCGATTTTATAATCTCACAGATTGTTATTCAATTTTCTGCTTTAGATTTACACATACGTATTATTTAGAAAATATAATATTCATGGAGAAGGCTGTTAATAATAATGATATCAAAGCGTGGAGTCCACAATCCACAGTTCATACAGTACATGTTTCACTAACAATTTTGTTGGTGCTGAAAAACATTAATGAAAAAGCTGATAGTCAGTTTTCAGGTTATCTCAATGCAACTTAGTGATAAGCAATAAATATTGCATTTGAATTTAAAATATACTTTTAAAATACCACGTTGTTATGAGTAACATTTACTTTTCATTTACTTTGTCCATTGGTGGTGTTGTATAGCTATTTTTCTTTTGTTATGGAAACAAAGGCTGAGAAGATTTTAAGCTGGAGTTTTAAGAGTTGATGTATATTTTTAATAATAACAGTTATAATTATAATCAAGCAAGGTAGAATATATTTGATTATTTTTAAATATAGATAGATATTTTTCCTCAAAATCTTGAAATCGTTTACAGAAACTGGAATTGAACTGCATTTATTAAGTGATAAATACAACAAGGATTAATATTTGTGCTTATTTTGATGCACATCATGCTTAATTTTAATCCAAAATACTGAATGTAAACATACAGATTCATGTTAATTCGTTATCTAAAATTATTTTATTACAAGCGAAATAGCGAAGTAAGTAATATTGCAGGATTCAATAAGAATTTACTACATTCATTAAAAATTTTACAGTTATTTGCCTGAATCACACATTAAATATAAAAGTAAATAATAAAAAAAATTAAATTCCATCTATATAAAGATGTTGCATTTTAAAGTGTAATTTGAAATTGAAAGCTTTAATTGTTACCGCGTTTGCTTATTAAATATATCGTTAATAATTTAAAATTTTATCTCCGGTGAGAAATTTCACATGCATATGTAACTTTCATATTTTAATGTTTCGGACTTTTATGAGGAAACATTAATACATAAGTAGTTTTCTTTAAGCATAAACATACACTGCAATACATAAAATACGCAGTTATATATTTCGATAGATAAACTTCTGATTATATTAATGGACTTAATAAGGAGCATAATTCTTACCGTAACTAGAATAAAATAGTCATATTGATTCAAAAATGCAATATGCCATATTAAAACTAAGAAATCATCCCATATTATATGTCTTATTAAATTAACTGATGTAAACTTAATAATAGTTTTAATATTGACTTAAGTTAAATTGTCAGCTATTTTCAGCTTATTTATAACAACTGAGATTTTCAACAGTCTTAAATTTTAAAATTTTGGAGTTTGTATACTTTATTTATTAAAGATCTGAACTTCAGAAATTTAAAACAATTAACAAGTATCATCTTTTTTTTCATAAAATCACAATTTTTATTTATTGTACTAACACATTATATTCCTTCAAGGAATTTTTTTAATCCTTTGAGTAAATAAAAAGACAAAGAGAAAATGTTTTAGAGGAAAACTAATTTATATTTTTAATATTATCCATTCCATTTCCTAATTTCTAATAAATGAAACATGATATATGAAAAAGAGCTTGCCAATTAGCTAAAATTATATGATAGAGTGATTTCAGGATTACAGAAAAGTTCTGCGAATTTCAAGAGACAGAATGTCGGTTCTTCAAGGAGCAAAATAACTACCAAATTTAATTATAACGCAACTTAATTCTAAACAAACATACTTGTAAACTTTGTGCATTACAGTTTTTCACAAAATTGCCAAAAACTTAAATGGTTAAATGATTGAACCCAGAAAAAAGTTTAACGAAGTAAGAAATACCAACGTATTTAATCCAAATAGCTCTTGAATATGTCAGTATCGAGTGCAAAAATTTCGTAAGGGAAGGTAAAAATTTAATAAGAATTTAAAACATCTTATTCACACACATCTTTTAATCACTTCATCAACTTAAAAAGCTTTGGCAATGCTAAAAGTAAAGTTTTCGACTCACGTAAAGGTGGTCCAGGAAGTTGGCAAGATAGACTTCTCGGTCTGCCATCAGGAGGAGGAGGAGGGGGTTGAGCTATCCATGGGTAAACAATTGCCTCAGACAAAGAACTAGTGGAAGCTCCCAAGTCCACAGAATTAACTCTGTGAGGACTCCATCGATAACGCACTTTCTTCCAGATGGAAGGGAGAGCCAGAGCCAGGCGCCCTGGGCTGCTGTCCCGGCGGCCCGTGGCCATACCTTCTCACTGCCGATCTGTTCTAGCAGAATTTCAGGCGAGGCAGTGCCACCCACGCCACCTTCTGGTTACCCTGGCAACAAAGGGTGGGAGGCGCGTGCTCTCAAATTTTTTGGCTTCAGGTAGTGTGTAACGGAAGGGGGTTTGGAATGTTTGATTAAATTGTAAGTGGTCTGTGAGTGGGAAGGCACGCTTTCTGTTTTTGCACCATGACAATGGAATTAGATTTGCCTACTCAGCATTTTCCTTCCCCAAATAAGCGCTCCTTCAAAAGTCATTTCCTGTATTTTATTACTCCATTCACCGCATTTTAAGCATCTTTTAATATAAGCATATGTAAGTAATAATCAGTATCTGGGAAATAATTTTAATTTTTCTAAAAATAATTTGTTGTTGAAACTGAAGCAGGCCGTAATAAAACGAGAAATAAATGCACTTAAGGATAAGAAAGATAAGTTAACTCAGGACAACTGCAAAAGTATTATTAGCATAGCATAAAATATTTATAATAATATAAAATAGTGATTAACATAGCTCAAAATTTAATCTTCAAATTTATTTCAGGGATATGTACAAGAAAATCTATAAGCCTGTTTCTTATTGCATGCTGTTAGATTTTGTAAACAGAAGAAATTATAAAGTTTTGATTTACATCTAAGAAGACAGTATATTAAGGTTCTTCCGTTTAGTAAACAGAAGAACCTCAATATACTGTCTTCTTAAACGTAAATCAAAACTTTATAATTTACAGTGAATGTTGAAGATCTCTAAGTGTACGTGTCTTGTCAACCAAAACGTTGTTAACTTACCTTTCAATTAATTCAGAAACACGGAAATGGCAGGTAGGCCTTATTTTCGAGCTTTTTGATACATATTTCTACTCAAGATGTATCTTAAACACTGTGCAAGAGTTTATGCAGCGAAGCTGACCAGACGTAAGCATCAAAGGAAATAAAGCTTCAACTAAAGGCATATTTTACTCTATTTTCGTGAAGTATAATTTTAATTAATAAAATACTCATAACACTTTATGCTGTTACAAATAAAAGCGTTTTTATTAAAAATTTCTAGAGTGAAGTAAACTATTTATCAAATAAATAAGTAGCAACACAATCGAAAACACAGTTTTACCCAAGAAAAAATTCTTAATAACCAAAACGACCAGCTTTTGTTTCGCAGCAGTGCCCAGAATCTGTTCTATATGTATAATCTGGAATTTTCCCGCAAATTTTCAGGCAGTGGTATGGAATTGTCTTGTTTCAAGATAATTAAACATGGATACTTTCAAATACATCAGTGACCAAAATTTTCTTTACATGTATTAAATATTATTTTCGATGACTTAGTCGACATCAATATAATTTAGCTTCGGATCAAATGATCAAAGACAGTTTTCGTCGTCCACAAATGCGTGGCAGACGATTTGTATAATGCAGGTTTTCTCGCTAGTTTCTATTGAAATATAATTTAAATGTTAATTAAATTAAGAGGTCTTTTTATGACATGGAAGCATAATTTTGGAGAATATTTGAGATGGAAGAGCTGTCAGCCGTTTAGAATTGAGCTAGATAATTATGGAAAAGGAAAATAGCTTATTGTACCGATATAGTTATTCTTTTGTAAGTAATTTAAAAATTCTGAAACCATTGCTAACGCTGAGGGATAAGGGCACAGAATTAAAATTCTGCATATCATGATCAATATCTATCTGTAATTGCCTTTTGCAGAAAGAATGTATTACATCTGATACTCATTACTAGAAATTTAGCCCCTCGACAAATTGTATACAGAAGGCTTCATTAGAGGAACCTTCATGTAAGAACCCAATGATTTTTGATTCATTCACATCTCGAAAAACATGGGTCGCTTGAGCTGGTGTACAGAATTATTACAGCAGGAATCTCCAATAACAGACTTGAGTTCTCCTCGGTAATGAGTCAAGGCTTCATTTAACTTCGAATTCTAAACCCATAAATATCTAAGCAGAGTCGTGAACATAAATATTTCTATTCTCAATCAGAAATATGACCGTCAGATATGAAAGTAAAGGTACATATGAAAGTATGAACTAGACGTATGATCAATGCACAAGCTTCTCTGAATGGGCTAAATAGAGGATATGTGTCCGATTCAGAGGAAAAATCCTTCAGCTCTATGTTAAAAGTGAATTATTACTAATTAAAGTGAGTTTACAGCAAAATTCATTACCTGGAGATCTCGATGGCCTGACATTTACTCGCAAAGCCTTATTAGCCACCTGATTAAGAATGCAAAATATCTTATGTACAAGGGCACTAACTTGTACATATGAGAAATCTACATTTGGCAATCTGTATTCATTTTTCTTAAACTTCTGTTATTCCATATTATTCCAGTTTTGCTTCATAACGTAATTTCGTGTCATGTGAACTCATTTCCAGTTTTTCATTGTGATGCTATTTTTCGAAAAGTTCACTAAATTTTATTCAATAGCTTCTGCACATCTATAAGTGCTAATAGATATTCTAACACATTTTTTTTTTACTCTTATGGGGATCATATCAAAAGTTAAATTTTTTCACAGAATTCTCAGTACAGGTAATATAGAGAAATTATGCATTTCAATATAAGAAATTTTGCCCTTCATACTTTTTTCGCATACCTTATACATACATGCATATATATATATATATGTATTTCTTACGCGTATTTTTATACCTACATTTCTGGCGCCTAGGTTTGAACATTTTAGAAATATTCGCTCAATTTTTCCCTTTCTTTAATGCCTTGAGAGAGCGAACTATCCTAAATATGTTAACGGATTCATCCACTTGACAATTGTTTTCGTCTTACTAACAAAGACAATCCTTCTCCTACTACCGGCGAAGATCATGCCGAGCTTTTCCCTTTTAACTGCTGAAATTTGTGTCAGCCCAATACAAGGACCGAGCCATCCCAGTAATGTAAACATGAACTGACATTCGGTCTATGATTTCACTCAGTCATTTGCACAATCACCTTCTTTAATTATTAATGGACGACTTGATGATGAAAGAGTAGCCGAGACAACAATAAGCAGGAGCGAACGAAATTCAAAAGACAAGACAGTAGAAATAAAGATTTCTTATTATATATTGTAGCGTTAGTATTACGATGCAATCATACTGGAATGTACGTTACTTTTAAAGAAATAATATTGCCATGTTTATCTGTAGTTTATCCACGACTACTTTTTATTTGTAACAATCGTATTGTAACCACGTCGTTGGGGAAATAAATTATTCCCAGAATTTCCCTTTCTTAACTTTCGAGCGATGAAAATAGTAAATAAACGGGGGAAATACGCTAAGAAATACGGTATATGTATATAGCTTATACGGTATTATGTATATATCTTCTATCTCCTGGATATTGCAAAGGTAGGGAATAGGGGCCCCTTCACAGCATGTATACCAAGCCATGCAGTTGCCAAAGACGTGAGTACGAGGTGTATGACAAAGTTTCGCTTGTAAGAGCAAATGGTGGACTTATTGAACATATTCTGAACTTAACTCCCAAGTCATGATGCGATCTTAATCAATGGTAAATACCTCTGTACATTTCAGATTTCTAGAATTAGGATTTCAAAGGTATAGGAGCAAATTTTACCTCTAATGAACGTTATATATCTTTAAGATTTAATTATTTCTTAAATATTTAATATTTTCAATGCATAAATGTACTAGATTGTTCATTTTGGGACAATTAGGTTAAAAGACTTTAAAATATTTTCACAGTTATTGTTTTAATAAATAATGATGAATATGAATTTTGCAAAGCCCATCCATATATATTGCGTAGAAAGTGTTCGAAACAAGTTCATCTCAAAAAGATAATCCTAAGCTTTTCAAAATCTAGTTATACATGAAATTCAGCATGAAATGTTGCATACTTTTAGAATTTGAATTTTTGAAATCGTATTTTCTTGCATCTTTTATTCAAGTAGAGGAAATAGGTGCAATATGCAGTTGTTCTTTGCAGTAAAGGAAAGAAAGTGTCGAGTAGAGTTTTCTCGCTTTGAAATGTTTTATGCAGACACCTTCATATTTCTTTTGAAATGCATAATCTTTTAAAGAATCTTTCAGGTGTTGAATAATATATCCGGCAATTCGTCTTGTCTTCACAACTGGAAATCTTTCCTGTTATTCTTCAAATCGTCACACAAGAAAGAGAACAAACACTAAAGTATAAATTAAAGCTCATGTTTTTGAATCGCTCTGCTGTTTCTTCTGATCGAAGTATACAATTTCAAGAGCGCAAAGAAGTAATAAAGCTTTGTATAAAAGGTAGACAGAAATGTAGAATAAATTTAAAAGCTGATTATTGTGGAGATTTATATATGCTGTAATTACGACATAGCGAAAACTCATGAAATTTTAATCGCAGTTCCTAAATTTTCAATTCAGATTAACAAACTGTAACAGCATTATTGTCAAAGCGTTTTTAAACCACTAATTTCATTAATGTTAAAATGCTTGGTGTTAATATTGTAAACAAATTCATCAATTTTCTGTGTAAAATAAATTGGGAGAAGAATGTACAACTTAGGAGTCATAAAATGTTGATTTGTACTATTGAAACTTATAATATGGAAGAGCAAAGATTACTTTAATAATTACTTATTATATGAAAACGCATAAAACTGGCAGAGATTCATTTTATTTGACAACAGCTTTAGGCATGTTGGTCATAAAAATTCAGGTTGCGAAGATTAAAAAGAGATTTATTTGGATTGTAATATTGGAGAAAAATATATATCTAAGAGTTAAACCAATTTAGCGAAGTGCATTAATTAATCAGCATAAATATGCAGGATCATTTAATAAAAATAAAAATTACGGAACTAATTAAAACAGAATTAAGTAAGCAAAGTAAAATAAAAACAAATAATAAAGCAAAGAAATAAAAAGTATTAAATTAATAATCACCTTTCATTAGCAATATTAAAAATATAAACAGAATCGCATATGTCATCCAAGGTA